AACTTTTATTCATCGCGCGGTAGACGATTAAAGTCACACCAAATGTATGTCGATCATTGCCCGATTCCAGACTTTTGGCAGGTGAGTGTACCATCATTTCAACGTTTTGAATAAAACACTGCACATAACGAAAAGTGAACTTAAAGATGGAATTTAATACTCATGATTGTAGGGAATGCACCGTTTGTCAAAAAAATAAGTACTGCTGGGAATGTTTTTATTATGGTAATGTGTCTAGCGGAAATAAAGATATCGACTGTCTAATAAAAGAATGCAAGGGAATATATTATTTTGAATGGATCCCTTTTGAAAGATTCACCAATGTTAAATATCTTGCAAAAGGAGGGTTTGGAACAACCTATAAAGCATCGTTGCACTATTACAAGTGTAATCATGAGGAGAATAAATTTAAACGAGATAAACATAAATGCGAAGTGGTGTTGAAATCATTACACAATTCAAAGCAAATTACATTAGAGTTTATAAACGAGGTAAAAATGCACCATTTCTAAAGTGTAAGCATGTTGCTTTTTTGTTTGCTAATTAAGTTTTTCAAAAATAGATTTGGACTGCTCTAAAATGCGGTATGACTTCTATACATCAAGTAAAATATTATGGAATTACTAAAAACCCAACTGAAAATGAATACTCGATAGTGATGAATTATGCAAAAAATGGCGATTTACGCAAATATATCAATTCCAAATGCATGTACGAAGAATTGACTAGCGTCAGGGAAAAAAATTAGAAGATTTATATGGGATTATTTAAAATTCACCGAAAGTGATTTGTGCACCGTGACTTTCATCCTGGAAATATATTAATAGATTATTATCCTCAAATTGCTGATTTTGGACTTACCGGCCCAGCGGATATAGAAAAATCCAATAAAGAAATTTACGGAGTTCTTCCTTATATTAGTCCAGAGGTACTAAACGAAAAGCCATCCACTAAAGCTGCGGATATTTATAGCTTTGGTATGATTATGTACGAGCTCGTAACAGACGAGCAACCATTCTGTGAACGGAGTCATGATATAGATCTCGTATTAGATGTCTATAACGGAGTACGACCTACGATACCAAATAGTGTTCTTTGGTGGTGCAAATTTATTATTGAAAAATGTTGGGATCCTATTCCAGAAAACAGACCAACCGCTGAGGAACTTAAAGACTTTATTCTCTCTATTTACTATATCGACTGGTATGGTGGGGAGTGGAAACCGAATACTTTGCATTTTCAGTACTACAGCTCTTTCAAAACACATGAAGAAATTAAAGAGTGTCTTAAGCTGGAATTGCAGAAATGGAAGGAACTTAACGAGGAAATGAACTTGCAAAAATACGTTTCTACAAAAAACAAATACATTCAAATGCAGTTTACACCAGTCGAATTTTTACTGCAAAGTTGATTTCAATTCCAACTGAGACAGGTACGTACTTTTATTTCTAAATCAAATCATACTGACATTTCTTTTTAATTATATATTTGAATATTTAGGTTTTACAACTGTCAGTTTGTATGTTCCAAATGAAGGTAAATTTACTATTTATATAGTTTTTCCAATAATACCGTATCAGTATTAAAAATACGTACGTACTTGTTTACAATATGTGACTACTAAATTTGATATAGATATTGATGCTGAGTCTACAAGTGGCAGCTTACATGCTCCAAATAAAGCAAATGAAGGGAAAACTTATTAACTATGTCACAACTGACAGTAATGATTATCAGTTAATTATAATTTTCACTTACATGTATAATGTCAGCAGATGTACCACAGGAGCTTGATATTGATCTTGATATTGAGAATGATGGAAAAGATGCCGAAAGTAAAACACAACGTAAGTTTTTTTCTTTAATAGCAACAGAGTTTCGACGTTTTAAAATATCATGATTTACAATAAAATCAAATTTCAAAGGTCATAAAACGAACAATAAACGTCCTATTGAAAACGTGTTTGAAGATTCAAATAAACGGGGAAAGATTTCAAGACAATAGTAATAATATTTATCTATTATCAATCAAGTTAGAAATAATGATAGCTCAGGTAAAATTATATTTTATTTTAGACGATTTTCTTCATATATACTTTTGTTTATAACAATTCTGCTTGAAAAAAATTGGCACTACCACCCATGCACAGAAAAATCTCTTTACCCGTAGACTTTGGCTCAAAGATAGATCAATAGTAGTCATAATTCAGAACTATTTTTCATAGTAAAAAATTGATATCGAAATACCGGAATTATTTTTTACTATTTTATATTTTTTCCCACCTTTCATTTTTTTTATGTTACTCGTACTTATTTTAAATTATTACCATAGATTATGTATTTTTGAATAATGCATCTGAATAAATGCTATTGATACGTATACATGTATTATTCATTACACATACGTACGTAATATGCTTTACGTTAACACTAAGTCGATTACAACACAAATAGAAGTTCTATAACTCAATAACTTCCACAGACATAAATCAGCCATCATTTCATGATTCTAGTAAATGCTATTTAATATCTCCCCGAAAATGTATTCTCATATCGATATCTGTCATCACGGTGTAAAAAAATGTGCTTAGCATGACGTTAAACGTGATTCGCTTAACGTTAAATAATGCGGATCTTAATTATCTCGCAATTTTATAATTCGTTTATTCGAATTATCCGATTTACCAGTCGAATCTTCAAATTAATTTCAAACACAGAAGTAAAAAAAGGTTTTTGATTTATGCATCTTTGCTGAAATTATTTTACCGACTGCGTGCCACATACGTATACATGTATTTCGGCGTGTACATGTATAACCAGAAATATCGTTTTATCGAGTTCTGACCACAATTATGTGTGTTACATGGCTTGGTTACTTATGGAGGTGTTATATGTAATATTTTCCGTCTTTCTGAGTTTTTTCACAAAATGCACTTGCTTGCTTCCCCTCCTATTTTTCCTATCCGTGTTAAATTCCTTACAGGTTCCATATACAAAGCAAATGTGACTGTACATACTACTGGAGAATTATTGTTAAAGTCCCTTCAAGTTTGTGTGGAGAAGGAAAACTACTGCAAATATCATCTTACGTATAATGACAAAGAGATACAGAGTGCAGACACACTTGAAAAGCTGGGAATCAAGGTCGGTGTCTGTAACTGCGTTGGCTCTTTTTTGTTAAGGGAGTAGACACATATGCAGTGTTAATGAATTATGCTGTTGTTTAATTTTAGGAAGGAGACTTGATAGAAACAATAATTACATCGGCACCAGCACAGATTGTATCAACACCAGCACAGATTGTAACACCGATATTACCAGTACAGAATGGAACAGCACCCCGATCTTTAACAGGTCAAATCTATGTGAAAACACTTACTGGAAAAATCATAAAGCTGCAAGTAGACGGGAGTGAAACCATCAACGCTCTTAAACAAAAAATCCAAGATAAAGAAGGCATTCCCCCTGACCAACAACGTCTTACCTTTGGAGGCAGACAATTGAAAGACGCACGCACCATAGCAGATTACTACATCAAAAACAAGTCCATCGTGCATCTTGCCCTCAGCATACGTGCACTATCACCAGTACAGAATGGAGCAGCATCAACTATAACAAGGTCTTTACCAGGTCAAATCTATGTGAAAACACTTACCGGAAAA